ACGCGGTACGCATCCCTGTCTTCCTCCCTTCCTTTCCCCCCCCCCTGGCCCCCTTCCCCAGCCATTGAAATGGAGAACGCGACGTCCGAGAGCGTTCTACAGTGCTTCTTCGTGTGCGTATGCTTATCTCTGCTTGCTCACGGGCTGCTGACCCTTTCTTTCAACCTCCCCGCCTCCGCCCGGTCTTGGTAGGATCCTCCCCCTATCTCGCCTCGCTGGATTGCTTCTGCAACGGCCAGTACGTCACCACCGTGCAAGCCGACGGCCTCATCATCGCCACTCCCACAGGTATACACTTTTCCGCTCCCCCCTCTCTTTTGATTTCCCCTTCTGTCCCCAAAGCGCCGTTTTCCTTCTCCTTGGTCCTGTCGCTTTCCTCCCTTCTCTTTCTTCACCATGTCAGCACATACGGCAGGCGGGCATGCACAGGAGCCTGTTTCTTCTCTGATTTCCTGTATCCGAATTTGTCCTTGACCCATCAAGAACGAGATTGAGATTTCCTTCCTGTACTCACCCCGCTCGCCTCTACTGTTTCCCCCCACAGGATCCACCGCCTACAGCATGTCCGCAGGCGGCTCGATGATGCATCCGGGTATTCAAGCCCTGCTTCTCACACCTATATGTCCCCATTCGCTCTCCTTCCGCCCCCTTGTCTTCCCCGACTCCGCCGTCATCTCCCTCTGCATGCCGCTGGACGTGCGCTCCCACGCATGGGTATCCTTCGACGGTCGATTTCGGCATCGACTCATGGATGGAGATATCCTGGAGGTCGGTCTCACCCCTTCCTCCATCCCTTTCTATCTCTCGATCGATCTGCACCCCGAAGGGACTCCCTCTTACCGCCTGCTGTCGCTCTCCATGCACCCTTATTCCTTTCCTTCTGTCCCTCTGCCCCTCCCTCCTTCCCTCCTACCCTCTCCAGGTGTCGAACTCAGAGTACCCCCTACCCACCGTGACGCACCGCAACGTGACAGCCGACTGGTTTAGGGCCTTAAACAAAGCCTTCAATTTTAACATGCGAACCCGACAAAAACCTTTGTAAAAGGAAAGTTGGAGGGAGAGGGAAGCAGACAGGGAGGCAGGCAAATGTTTAATTAAAACAACGAAAGCATCGAGAAGATAAATCACAAAGTCGGCTCGGAAAAGAAGAAAGCGTTTCCACGAATGGATACACGAGGCCTAGGGAATTTACCTTTTTTCTCTGTTCGAAAGAGGCTCTCGCCTCCCTCTTTAAACAGCTTTCTCCGAATTAACCTCATCTCTTCCCTCCTCCTCTGTCTCCTCTTTCCCGTTGCACGCCGCACACGTCTCAAAAATGAGAAGGCCCCTGGCATCCTCAGGTCGGTCCCCATCTATCACACCGTCAATGCCACGTCCAGCTCCGAAAAATCATCCGACAGTACTTCTCTCGTCTCCATTTGCGCCCCCACAACCCTACAAGTACAGTCCCTCCCCCTCTATCCCTTGGCATCTTGCCCTCCCCTTCTTAGCAATCCCTCTTCTCAGATTGTGCACATATAGTACAAAGTTCCCTTGTCAAACCAGGACAATTACGATATCCGCCACGGAGAAAGAAGGAGGAAATGAGCCCTCTTCCTACTTGTATCCCTGAGCTGCTCACAGGGAAGTATTGGAGCTTTCCATCGGGTATTTTCATGTTCTTCCACAAGACCACTAGGAGGAAAAGAGGGAGGACAGGGAGGTATGGAAGACGATGACCGTCCCTCTCTCCTTAGCGATCAGCTGCTCGCGGGGGAGTAGTGAATTCCTTCTCGAATGAGCCCGATCAAACGCCGAGGGTCTTCGCGGGACAGGTAAGGGTACGCGTCCATCAGGGAGGACCAAGATACCTCCCTCGGTCCCTCCCGCCCTCCCTCTCTCCCGCTCCCCTCCTCCGCCAAGTCCAAGGCCATGGCGCGAAGAAGCTGTGCGT